TAAACCTGTGGTCTAGTCAGCGAAAGGTTTCTGCTCTAGCAGATTATTCAAACGCAAGAGGGGCGGTGGGATGAGGTGGGGGGGTGTCCTTTCTAGCGGTTTGCACCTTAAGTGGGCAGTGTTGACTGGGGGAAAAAAATGCACATGAGAGTTGTGAGTTAAGTTTTATTGGGGGCAAAATGAGGATGATAGCCTGAGAGACAGCATTTTGGATATCTCTGAGGAGCTGTGACAAGCAGCTAGTGGGGAAGTCAGTAATATATGATTTTAGTGAAGGGCGTATGTGCAATCAAGCACACATTTTGGCAGAAGCTCACTGCTAGTCACGAGGAGCAGATGTCACCATTAGTGATTTTAGTGCTTTTCTAGATAGGAGGAGATGTGAGAATTGTGTTCATAAAATCTTCTCCAGAAAATATCAAATTATCTGAAGACCTGTTCTGCCAGTTTTTCCCAGAGCACAGAGGGCCTTGCTCCTGATCTCCATCCTGAACTACTTTCAGGGGAGCAGCTGCAGTGGCTCAGGATTTAATCCTTGTAGAATTAGGTGTGTGTGTGTGTGTGCTCGGTCGCTCAGTTGTGTCCAACTGTGACCCCATGGACTATAGCCCAACAGGTGCCTCTGTTCATAGGATTTCCCAGGCAAGAACACTGGAGTGGGATGTCATTTCCTTCTCCAGAGATCTTCCTGACCCAGGGATCAAACCTGAATCTCCTGCATCTCCTGCATTGGCAGGCATATTCTTTGCCACTGTGCCACCTGGGAAGCCTAGAGACAGATGACAAATGCCAATTTGTAATTAGCAGCAGGATGAGTTGGGGGCGGGTGATAGGGTGAGCCCCATCTGATAATAGTCCTGTGGGATCCACTGTCATCTCCCGGTAGATAGTGTCCGAATTTAGTCAACTGTTTGATGATATATAGAATGACACACACTCAGAATCAGAATTGAAGCCCCAAAGCCTGGTCTCAGAGCTTCAGGATCCCTCTTGCTTGAGGCAGTGGTGGCTCCTGACACTGTTTCTCTTGAGGGGCAAGGACACCTGCTTTCTAGCATTTGCTGATTCCCATTGTAGCATGAACTGGTGGATTATTATGCCTTCAGAATTTTGCTTAGAGAGAGACAGATATGATGCCAAATCCACCCAGCAAAGAAAGGCCTTGGGGGGAACAGATAAGGTATAAACCACTATGCCTTTGAACTGTGGTGCTAGAGAAGACTCTTGAGAGTCCCTTGAACAGCAAGGCAATTAAACCAGTCAATCCTAAAGGAAATCAACCCTGAATATTCTTTGGAGGGACTGATACTGAAGCTGAAGTTCCAATAATTTGGCCACCCGATGCGAAGAGCTGACTCATGAGAAAAGACCCTGATGCTGGGAAAGTTTGAGGGCAGGAGGAGAAGGGGATGACAGAGGATGAGATGATTGGATGGCATCACTGACTCAATGCACATGAATGTGAGCAAGCTCCAGGAGATTGTGAAAGAGGGAGCCTGGCATGCTGCAGTCCATGGGATCGCAGAGTCAGACACGACTGAGTGACTGAACATCAATGGTGTGTGAGTGTCCTAGGGTTGTTATGGCACAGTATCCCAGACTAGAGAGCTTAAAAAATGAAAATTTAGTCTCTCCCAGCCCTGGAGGCTGGAAGTCTGAGATGGAAGCATTAGCAGGGCTGGTTCCTCCTGAGATTCTGCATAGAGTCCATCCCTGTCTCTTCCAGCTTCTCATTGCCAGCACTCCTTGGCACTACTGGGGGAAAATATCTGAGGATGCTTCCAGCAGGATGAAAAAGAAAAAGCAGAGGCCTTTTCATGGGATCATACTTTCTCTAGACACTTGCTGAAGGATCAGGTATTTTGTAAGACAGTGAATTTCGTGGGGGAGACTGGCCCCATGGGAAACTATTCAGATGTGGAACAGAGAAAGGGCTAAACCTCAGGGACTCAGAGAAATGAAGAACAGGAAGATGCAAAACAGCTGTAAAAACCCAGATTTAGTTTTAGCCCCCAACCAGTGGGAGGGGCTGGCTGAGAGTCTTTTCCTCTAAAGCTAGCCTCAGCTGCAGGGCACTTGAGGGCTGCATGCCAGCAATTCCTGGCCAGGAAGTGCCTGCTTCATCCCCCCACAGCCGCACACATTTGGAATCGTCTGACTGTGACTGTAAGACGGGTTGCCTGTAAGATTGGCCTTCTGCTCAACCCTCAACTGAGCAGTCTTACTGCCCTTCATCCACAAGAGGGAACAGAGGTGCTGTCTTAGTATTTCAGCACAGAGATAAGGGTGCTCCCTCCACTGGACATCCTTTGCAGGGCTCCCCCGGGAGCAGGGACGAGCCTGTCGGGGGGTGGGGGGGTCTCCCTTTTTTAGGGTCTCCAGGTCAGTGGAGCTCACCGCTTAGAAAAGCACAGGTAGAAGACTTCACCTCCTTCCAACCCAAACCCAAATGTCAGGTCCAGCCCCAGTCATGCCAGGAAAGGCCAGGGCACAGCCCGGTCAATGCAAGGCAGAGAGGACCAGAGGGGCCAGCCCCCAATCCCAAAGAAGGGAGCCGCCCCTGGACTGGGCTTTCTGAGCCCCCAGGAAACAAGGGTGCTTCTCCCAGTTCCCTGAGCTAATTCTGACCTCAAGACCTTTGCGCTTGAACTTGTTCTGCCAGGAAGGCTCCTCCCCAAGACCTCAAATAATTGCTGCTCTCTTCATTCATTTCCTGTTTCCTGTACACGCGGACACACCCTCTAACAGCCCCTACCTCCACCTCTGACACTGACCCCAGGATCTGTCACCCACTCCCTTTCTTCCAGACACTCCATCATCACCTGGGGTTGCATTACTGCAGCCTTCTTCATTGGTTGGCTTTCTTGTTTGGGGGGGTCCTCCCTGACAGAATGTGTGTACCGGAGGCAGGGTCTTCATCTGGCTTGCTCACCACTGAACCCTCATGGCAGGAACCACCTCGCACATAATAGGTCCTCGTATTAGTTTGCTCAGGCTGCCATAACAAAGTGCCTCGGGGTGATGGCTTAGACAACAGAAATTTATTTTCTCACAGTCTGGAGGCCAGAAGTCCAAGACTAAGGTGTCAGCAGGGTTACTTTCCTTTTTTTTTTTTTTAGCAGGGTTACTTTCTACCGAGGCCTCCTGGACATGGAGACGGCAGTCTTCTCCCTGTGTCCTCACGTGGTCTTGCCTCCATGTGTATCTGTGTCTTAATCTGTTTTTTTTCTCATTAAGACACCGGTGAGGTTGGATTAGTGACCTCATTTACCTCAATCACCTCTTTAAAGGCCATCTCTCCAGTGTAGACACACACCAAGGTCCTAGAGGTTAGGACCCTGACATATGAACTTGGGGACACAATTCAGCCTGCATCAGTCTTCAAAACACATCTGCTGAATGAATGAAAAAGTGAATGAACCAATAAGTGAATGAACCACCCTCACTTTTAAAGCTAGGCCAATGGCACATACAAGGTTATGAATGTGCAGGTCCAGTTTGAGGGAAGGCAAAAAAAATTGGCCCAGCATTCAAAGATGGTATCAGATAGGAAAAGGTAGGTTAGGACCAAATTCTTTAGGAACTTTGATCTGAAAACAAAGATCCCACAAGTTTTTAGAAAGGGTAGTGACAGAATGAGACCAGGGGCTTAGAAGGGAAAGGGCCATAGTGTGTGCAAGGATGGGGCCACTGTTAGGAGGGGATGGACGGACAGCTGGAAACAGGGCACACACGGATGCTCCAAGGGTCAGCGACAGGGTAGGCACCACCTCGAGACTCCAATCCTCCCCAGTGGTTAGTGCCCTGGAGCTGGCATGACAAATGCTCCCAACTCAGACACATAGTACATCTATTCTCTCCCAGTTCTCAGGCCAGAAGTTCCAGGGCGAGGTGTCGGTAGAACTAGTTCTTCCCAGAGGCTCTGAGGGAAAACTCTTTCAGGCCCCTCTCCCAGGTTCTGGGTCCCCTGATCCCCTCGGGGGTCCCTGACTTGGGGCAGTGACCCTCCAGTCTCTGCCTCCGTTGCCCTCTAGCCAAGGGGCTCCTGTGTCTCAAACCCTCCCTGCCTGTCTCTTCTTGCATTTCAGGCCCACCGTCATCCCCAGATCTGCCTCAGTTCCACTGCGAGTGGGCTTTTCCCAATAAGGTCACAGCCACATATCCAGGTGGACTCGCATTTGGGAGGGGAGCGAAGCCATTCAACTCTCTGTCTCCACTCTGGTCCCCGTGGAGGGTGGGGGGTGGTCACAGCAGGAAAGTGTTCATGACCCAGAGTCCCTGGCCAGCCTCTGGGCCCTGACTCAGGCCAGTAACTAGACCATTGCGCTTCACCTTCCTGACCTGAAAAAGTGCAAATTAGGCGCTGACACGCAGAGTTGCTGTAAAAACGAAATGAGCATCTCAGAGCAGCGCTGGGTGAGGCCAGCTGTCTCTAGGGGGAAGACTACCTGATTATAGGTCCCACGGAGAAGTAAGAGACCCCAGCAACCTTTCTCCCAGAATCTCCAGCAGCCTGACCTAGCCTGGGTGAGAAACGGTGACGGCGGGGCAGAGATTGCCTACCAAGGGATGCTGGACGGGCTCCCTGTCATCTCTCCACACCTTACTGCCTCCTCTCCATCTTGAACTGCAGGTGACGACGTGGAGCCCAGCAGAAGTGACAGCAGAACCTGCAGACTCTCCTGGAAGCACAGAGTCCCCTTGTCCCCAGGCCCTGGGGCACCGCCAACACCCCTTTTGTGTTCTGTGCCTGTCTGAGGCCATCATCCCCTCCCGCAGACAGGCCTGAGCTGGGCTGCTGGCCTGCCCTGCGTCGGTGAGCAGCTGGTGGGTTGTAAGGGGTTGGACAAAGCAGAGCTGGAGGAAATAGAGCCCCCAGGAAGGTCTGCTGGGGGACCTCTGGGCCACGCTCCCGTCTTGTGTCTTCACAGAGCTCATCGAGAAGACCGGAGGCGCTGAGCCCCAGAGACCGCATACCCCAGCTCTCCAAGCAGACAGTCATGTCGCTGTCCTACAGGCCTTTGAAGTCAAGGAGGCGCATTCTGACTTCCGCTCAGCATCACCCAAAGGAAGACGTGAACTTCCATCAGCGGCCACCAGCGCCGCCGGCTCCAGCACCGGAGCAGATGATGAGTCCCCTCCATTGGCAGGTGGGAGAGAGCCACCCGAACTTCCTTCCCAACAGCTTCCAGCAGCTGAATTTGGACCCTCAGCAGCCAGAAGCAGATGGGGGCCAACAGAGGTCAAAGGTAAGGTGAGAGGAGGGGGGGTCAGGAAGGGTGCGTGAGGGGGAGGGAGGGGAGAGAAGTGTGGGTGTTAGTCACAGAGTCGTGTCTGACTCTTTGCGACCCCATGGACCGCAGCCCGCCAGGCTCCTCTGCCCTTGGGATTCTTCAGGAAGAGTACTGGGGTGGGTTGCCGTTTCCTCCCCCAGGGGATCTTCACGACCCAAGGATGCAACCTGGGTCTCCTGCATTGCAGGCAGATTCTTTACCATCTTTCAGAAGGTGGAGGGGTGCGGGGGAAGTGGGGAATAAAACCTGCCAGTCTACCCTCCCCCACTCCCAACCTTCTGGGCACTTCCAACAAGCCCCAGGGGCAGACACAGTCTCTGGGGCAGCAATGACCTTCCTGGACATGGATCTGGGGCCTCCGTTCTCTGTGCTGGGGTCTCCTGCCTGGGAGCTTTCCCTCCAGCTGTGACTGCCAGCCATCACTGTCAGCCACCCCCAACCCCAGCCCTGCAGGCCCGGGGTGGGCCTCTCCCCTCCCTCCAACTGGCAGCAGCTGCCCTCACAGGGTCATCTCTCAACTCACACGGGCACCTCCACCTCCAGCCCACAGCAGTGGAAGCCAAGCCTATGCAGGAACAAGCGCAGGGGCCTTGCCTCTGGCACACCCGGGTCCACCTCTCGCCCCTCCTGTCTCTAACCCAACATGAGCAAATCCATCCATTCAGCCGCAAATTCCAGAAAGTAGTGGGAGTCCATCAGAGGCCAAGGCTGTGAGTCTGCCTGTCTCCTCCAGGAGCCTGAAAACAACCTGTACAGAAAGTATGAGGAGAAGGTGCGGCCCTGCATTGATCTCATCGACTCCCTGCGGGCCCTGGGTGTGGAGCAGGACCTGGCCCTGCCCGCCATCGCCGTCATCGGGGACCAGAGCTCGGGCAAGAGCTCCGTGCTGGAGGCTCTGTCGGGGGTCCCCCTCCCTAGGGGCAGCGGTAAGCACTGCTGGGGCAGCCTCCTACAAGCCACAGAGCATCCCAGGACTAGTAGGCTCAGGAGGGCCACGGGAAGCCCCCCTGGACAGGTGATGTGGGCAAGGGGTGGTGGGGAGGGTGGGTCTGGATGCTCCTGCTACCCCTAGGTTCTGAGTCCTCTTTCATGTGTCAACAGTCATTGTGGGGCTTTGTATCAGTTGGTTTCTTTCTAGCCCTCTAAGACTCTAGAAACATTTCTATGTTAATTTGTGAGTTTCCAGTAACATGCAAAGTCTTTTTGAAGAATTTTCTCAACACTTTGAGAAGCTATTAGCCAGGATCATGGTGTGATATGTTTTTAAATGTTTCATTTTAAAAAAGAATTTTTGGTTTTTTTGGTCATGTCTCAAAGCATGTGGGCTTTCATGCCCACAAGGGATTGAACCTGCACCCCCTGCATTAGGAGTTCAGAGTCTTAACCACTGGACCACCAAGGAAGTTCCTGTTTCCCTTAAAAAAAAAAAAGTTTGTAGAATTAAGCATGGCAACCCACTCCAGTATTCTTGCCTGGAGAATCCCATGGACAGGAAAATGGCAGGCTATAGTCCATGGGGTCTCAAAGAGTCGGACGGAACTGAGTAACTAACACCGCTTCAACTATGATCATATGGGCTTCCCTGGTGGCTCAGCTGGTAAAGAATCTGCCTGCAATGCAGGAGACCTGGGTTCTATCCCTGAGTTGGGAAGATCCCATAGAGAAGGAAAAGGCTACCCACTCCAGTATTCTGGCCTGGAGAATCCCATGGACGGAGGAGCCTGGCCAGCTACAGTCCATGGGGTCGCAAAGAGTTGGACACAGCTGAAGTGACTTAGCACACACGAATGCAAGCACAGAATTAAAAAGCTGTCATACATTCTGACAATGAAAATAATTATAAAGGGGAACCCTAAAGTGGGTAGTTTCCCCTGTCCTGATTCCCTCTCTCATACCCATCTTCTTCCAGCACTGCCCATCCGTCAAAAATAACAGGAACCCAGGGAGCCAGGGCTGCCTCCTGGGCACAGAGGAGGGTATGGGGGCTTCATGGACCCTGCACAGCCCTCAACAACCACCCAGACCAGGCGCCCCGGCCTGTGTGTCCTCCCAATCATGCACAGCCGGTCCTTTACTCCCAGGTCTCCTGTGAGATCCCCATCCGCCCAACTCTGATGTGTGATGGAGTCAGAGTGGGGACCAGTGGCTCCTCCTCTCTGCCCTGGGTTCAGCATTTCCAGGAGAAAAGCAACAGAGCAAAGAGTCTGGAGGCCAGTGTGGCCATGGCAGTCTTGTGGGGCAGGCAGGAGCCCCTTACAGGACAGTGCTTTGGGCTCCCTCCACATCCAAGTGTGAGGGGCTAGGAGGGCTGGATGGGGCCAGGTAAATCTCACTGCTTCCCTCCCACTCCTACCCCCATCCTGACCCTTGGCCGCCACCTGGACTGTGCCCAAGGCCTTTCTAGGAATGGGGGTAATTAGTGGGGCTGGACTGAGTCCTCCCTAGAGAGGGATACAGATTTCAGACAAGGCCTTTGGGGACACTAGGGAGGATAAGAGCAAGGTGTGGGTCTTCCCTGGTGGTCTAGTGGTTAGAACTCCATGCTCCCAATTCAAGAGATGGGGGTTTGATCCCTGGTCAGGGAACCAAGATTCTACATGCCTTGTGGTGCAGTCAAAAAAGGAAAGAAAAGGGCACCTGTGAATGGTTCTTTTTAAGGGAACCTTAGAGGCTGTTTGGGAAACTCTCTCTCAGGAATCATCACCCGGTGTCCGCTGGTGCTGAAACTGATAAAGCGGGAGTGTGAGTGGACGGGGAGAATCAGCTACCGCAACATAACGCAGCAGCTGCACAGCCCTTCCGAGGTGGAGTGGGAGATCCATAAAGGTAGGGCCCTGCGGGCATCTGCAGGTCGGCTCCTTCTCCCCCTGGGGCCATCAGCAGTCACCCAGGCCTCTCCAGCCCCACAGCGAGCACCGTCTCTTCTTTCCAGGCTTTCCCACATGCCGCCCTCTGCCTCGCACACGTCCGTCCTCCTTGCTGCATAACCCTACCCTTTCGTGACTGTCGGTTTTACCTGCCTCTCCTCTGGGAACTGTCCCAGACAGCACCCCTAATCCACCTACCTTGGTCAGCACTGGGGGCATGTGTTGCGAGGAGCTGCTCTAACCTGAAGTGTCTGGTTGCCTGTGGCCGCATCCCTGTCCCCAAGCCGTGAGGTTTCCCCCAAGGCCAACCCCCACCCACCCATCACTCCTAGAAGCACATCCAACTCTTGAGATCAGCCTGACATAACCACCGAATGAGAAGCAGGCTCAGTTGCTCCTGGAATGTCTTACCAAGAGGCGCTAGTGGTGAAGAACCCGCCTGCCAGTGCAGGAGACATAAGAGACACAGGTTTGATCCCTGGGTGGGGAAGATCCGCTGGAGGAGGGCATGGCAACCCACTCCAGCACTCTTGCCTGGAAAATCCCATGGACAGAGGAGCCAGGCAGGCTCCAGTTCATAGAGTCACAAAGAGTCAGACATGACTGAGTGACTTAGCAAGCAAGCAGCTATGATTACCCACCTCCCTCCACCCCCCCCCCCAGCCCCAACCCCCCACACCCCACAGACTGGATCAAGACACAGAATGGCAATGAAAAGGAACAGCCCTCAGCCACACGCACCAGTATAAAGGAATCGCGCAAACGAAATGTTGAGCTGAGGAAGCGTGATGAAGAGAGGGTTTCCCCAAGTGGCTCAGCGGTAAAGAATCCACCTGCAATGCAGAAGCCGCAAGAGACTCGGCTTTGATCCCTGGGTCGGGAAGATCCCCTGGAGGAGGGCGTAGCAACCCACTCCAGTTTTCTTGCCTAGAGAATCCCATGGATAGAGGAGCCTTGCAAGGTACAATCCATGGGGTCGCAAAGAGTCAGACATGACTGAGTGACTTAGCACACATGCACACATGCATGATACCAAGAGAAGACGTAGTTTACGATTCCTTTTATAATTAGGTGGGACCACAGGAAAATGCTCTTCTTGTAGGTCAAAAGTGGTTATCTATCAGCAAATTCACTTGGCTCAACCAAGTATAAAGTACAAAAATGGGCAAAAGAGTAGATGCTGGTAAAGCTTAAGATAAGCGCTACTTTATGTGAGGGCTAGAGATCAACAGGGAGAGAGGGGCTTTAGCAGGGCAGGGGGTGCTGCCCATGTTCTGTTTCTTGATGTGTGTTTCTGTGACACCAATGGGTCCCGCCTGTGAAACTCACCAAGCCACAGGCTTAAGACAAAGTGTACTTTCCTCTATGTATGCTTCACTTCAATACAGAGTTACAAAATCATAGCTTAAGTAGTGACTGGGAGTGATAGCTAAAAGCAGGAAACGTTTACAAAGTAGCCTGGTTGCCATCATTTTCCCACCCCCTGATCTCTAAAGAATTAGGCAATTCATCAGGGCTGTGCTTAAATTGCCTCCTTGTTTCTCACCTTAGGACTGTCCCCAGATACAGGTGAGACACATAAATCTGCCCACAGATTTCCACTGTTTTTGCATGGTTGGGTTCTTCATCTGGACTCAGGGTTTCTCCTCTCTTGGTCTCCATAGCCCAGAACTTCATAGCTGGGAATGGAGGTGGCATCAGCCATGAGCTCATCAATCTGGAGGTCACCTCCCCTGAGGTCCCAGATCTGACCCTCATTGACCTTCCCGGCATCACCAGGGTGGCTGTGGAAAACCAGCCACAGGACATCGGACTGCAGGTCAGCCTCTCTGCAACTTGGGAGTGGGCCCCACGCTCAGCAGGGGGCACTTCTGAGGTCTCTGCCAGCAGCCCCCAGGGCTCTGGTGCACATTCCCAGCCCACAACCTGAGTAGTTGGGGAGGAGACTGCGGAGGACAGTCTAGGGCTGGGGCCTCATACTCGGGTTCGGACAAGGGCCCGGCAGTCATGCAAACAGGCAAAGCTGACTCTGTAGGCCTAGAGGTGTATAACACACACCCTGCCCAATGCTATCCTGCGGGAATATGGACCCAGTGTTAACCACTCTCCTGATATTTAAAAGAAGCCAGACATTGGATTTTTACATGGGATCTGCAGATTTTAGTCACAAGTTTTTTAAGTAACACTATGTAAACTAATCAGGACACAGATTGTGATCTCTGGCTGGGGACAAGAATGCCGGTACAGTGGACAGGCATGAGAACCACAGAGCAGCTCTGACCTATACAAACCAATAGCTGCTGAGCCTGGGGCTTCTTTACCAAAGACCTTCCCACTTAAGTTTGCCTGAAAGTGTAGTCGTCACGGGGATGCCAGAATCACACCTGATCACACCCTGAGACCAGCCTTGTCAAGCCTTGCTGAGCCAGCTCACGTGGAGGCCAAGGAGGCAAGGATGGTCTCAGAAGCAGGGTTGTTGTCCAGGGTTTAAAGGGACGGGGTGGAGGAGAGGGAGAAGATGAGACTCTCTTCCCCTGAGACTGAGGTCACAGCTGCCCTCTTCCCTTTTCCAAGGAGGTGAGTGGGGGGCGGCACTGCCAGTGTTGGGAACCCAATTACAGCCCAACTAAGACCATGGCAGTCCCTCTTGGATGGGTCTCTGCTGGCCCCACTGTCTCAGGCACTTGATTACTCTTTCTTCCTCAACATCCAGATCACCATTCTCTGTCTCTGGGAGCCTTGTAATTAGGTCACTCCCATTCCTGAGTTAAGGGGCTAATTCCACACTTCTTACTGTTCTTCATTCAGCAAATGGGTGGGATTTCCTAGGGCATGACAAAAATGCTTGCCTGGGGTCAGAGCATGTCTGTTCCTCCTGCCGTCAGCTCAGAAGCATCCCAGGGAAGATCTGTCGAGGAAGGAGGGGTCTCATCTGGCCACGGGAATCAGGGAGCCTTTGGGGAAGAAGAGGTACCAGTGATGAGCTCTAGAGGATAAGCAGAACCTCAGCAGAGAACTCAATGAGGGCAGGTGGTCAGACATTCTAGAGGAAGGGCGTAGGCTAAGCCAAAGCTCAGAGGTGTGAAAAGTGGGTGGTGCTCTGGGATGACCAGCTGTGCTCTTGGGTGACCAGAGATGTGCTCTTCCATTGTGACTCCTTGGCATCAGATCAAGGCACTCATCAAAAAGTACATCCAGAGGCAAGAGACCATCAACTTGGTGGTAGTCCCCTGCAACGTGGACATCGCCACCACAGAGGCGCTGAGCATGGCCCAGGAGGTGGACCCCAGTGGAGACAGGACCATAGGTAAGAAGAAAGCGCCGAGCTCCTTAGAGGACAGGATGCTGGGGGAGGCCCCTCAGATATTTAGAAGGTCCTGGATGTAATAGCTCTGTTAGAGGTGCCCACACCCTGCATCAGATACAAGCTCTGTTCCCAGGGAAACTCCGTGGGCTCGGGGTGCAGTTGTACACAGCAGATGGGTCACCCTCACTCATGGTCAGGGCTAGATGTATGGCCAGTATTTGGAGGTTTTTTGCCCTCCTTCCTATTGTCCCTTATTTGAATTCTAAACCCATTCTGGATCGGGGAAGAGAAATGCCTTATTTGCTCTCCCACAATGGTCCAGAAAGGAGGAACTGACTGGCCCATCAACTCTGCAAGTCCACAGGAAAAATTCTTGTGAGTCTTTGGTTCATGGAAAAGTTCTCACCAGGGTGTGTGTGAACATACTCAGGGAATACACTTCCAGGTTTACACTGGAGCACAGGTGTCTATAGAGTTTATTTTCAAGTAGGACTCTTCCTTGGGGAGATGGGTTCTCTTAAATTCCTTTTTTAAAAATGTCCCCAGTGGAAGGCATTATAGGGGATTTGGTTTAAGAGCACAGATTGCCTGGGTTTCAATCCTTGTTCTACAATTTACTGGCTACATACCTTGGGCAAATGAGAGCTGCTATTTTTAAAATTCTAATATTGTTACTTAATATCACTTCTCTCCAATCACTTCACTTACCCATCTGAGTTTACCTTCCTGAAAGTGTGCCAGTCATTTTCTTTGACTAATTGGATACCCAGTATATTACTGCCTTTTCCACTTTTTTTCCAACAAATGTCCAGGTTTCCAGTAAGGATAAAAATACCAGTAGGGGAATACAACTCGAGTTTAATGTGTTATTATATGCCAGACTAGACTGGTACCCTGTTACCTGCTGACTTCTACAGGCATCTAAAACACATTGAACTAGAGAGAAAACTCAGGTTTGGGGTCATCCACCATTATGTAATCATAAGTCATTAGGAATGTCTCATTAATGACCACAGAAGATAGTTTCATCTGTTAAGTAGATAGATCTATTTGGATATCAATATCTTTATAGAAATTGAGTAATACTTCTTACTAGTAGTTTTCTGTTCTTGTCATGGGGCTTCCCAGGTGGTTCAGTGGTTAAAAAGAAAAAAAATCTGCCTACCAATGCAGAAGACACAAGAGACATGGGTTTGATCCCTGGGTGGGGAAGATTCCCTGAAGAAGGGAATGGCTACCCATTCCAGCATTCTTTAGCCACAAACTCTGATAATCTATAAGTTTTCACTAAATATTATCTATTATTGTTGTAAATTCAGTTAAGTACTATATGCATAGAGTATACACAATCAGGCCTTAGTATATTCCAAACAGCCCTATAACACTGTGCAAATTTTCCATGCATTCTAGGTCAAGTGTAGAAATAGAGAAAAGTATGCTAAATTTAAAAAAGAAATGGAATATACACTCAAGTACACAGCAGCCAAAAGGTGGAAACAAACCAAGCATCCATCAAGAACACAGTCACTTGGAATTCAAAGCCTTCAGTTCAGTGTGAGCGACAGGAGTAAGGGCAGGAGTGTGGGAGAGGAAGGCAGGGAGGATCTCAAAGGAGGTCCCAACTAGAGGGGCAGAGTGAGTCTGTGACAGGAGACCCTCGAGAGTCACAGACCCTCCTTACAGTAGGAAATGATGTGCTTTTGGAGACATAGTGCTGGAGTGAGTTGGTTCTGATGATGCATGCTGCCTTAGTGTCGGGGACTCAGTGGGCACCCAAGAGACATTTGTTAAATAAATTACACAAGGCAGTTAACAAGTTGAGTGACTGGATGAGCAAATAAAAATACAAGTGAGAGGAATGACAATGGAGTGAAAGAACGAGCTGACGGGCACTGGGCAGAAAAGGCTCTTAGTCATAACAATCTTGATAAAGAAGAAAGTTGGAGGCATCATAATCCCTGATGGCAAGTATATTACAAAGTGACTGTGATTAAAGCAGTATGGTGCTAGCAAAAGACAGACATACAGACCTGTGTGACAGAATAGCAAGCCCAGAAATAAATTCGTGTCTGTATAGTTAGCTGATTTGGGGCAAAAGTGGTAAGAATATACAGTGGGAAAATGATAATCTGCTGGTCTTGGCCAAAAAAGACCCCGTAGCCTGGTAGTGTTCAATATATTTGCAGAGAAAGTTGGCCTTTCCACTTGCTCTCCTCTAATCATCTCACAGGGATCCTGACCAAACCAGACCTAGTGGACAAGGGCACTGAGAAAGGAGTCCTGAAGATCATGCAGAACCTCACCTATCATCTCAAGAAGGGCTATATGATCGTGAAGTGCCGGGGCCAGCAGGATATCACCAACAAGCTGAGCTTGGCAGAGGCAACCATGAAAGAAACACTGTTCTTTCAGACACATCCGTATTTCAGGTAAGATTCTTCGCCACAGCCTTGGACTCCAGGGAAACCAGCCCTGCCTACCAGAGTTGGCCAAGATGATTACCATATTTAAAAATTATACAATTAGCATCAGCTCAGTTCAGTCGCTCAGTCGTGTCCGACTCATTGTGATCCCATGGACTGCAGCACGCCAGGCCTCCCTGTCCATTACCGACTCCTGGAGTTTACTCAAACTCATGTCCATTGAGTCGGTGATGCCATCCAACTAACTCATTCTCTGTCAACCCCTTCTCCTCCTGCCTTCAATCTTTCCCAGCATCAGGGTCTTTTCAAATGAATCAGCTCTTCACATCAGGTGGCCAAAGTATTGGAGTTTCAGCTTCAACATCAGTCCTTCCAATGAACATTCAGGACTGATTTCCTTTAGGATGGATTACTTGGATCTCCTTTCAGTCCAAGGGAATCTCAAGAGTCTTCTCCAACACCACAGTTCAAAAGCATCAATTCTTTAGCACTCAGCTTTCTTTATGGTTCAACTCTCACATCCATACGGGACCTACTGGAAAAACCGTAGCCTTTACTAGATGGACCTTTGTCGGCAAAGTAATGTCTCGGCTTTTTATTATGCTGTCTAGGTTAGTCATAACTTTTCTTCCAAGGAGTAAGCATCTTTTAATTTCATGGCTGCAGTCACCATCTGCAGTGATTTTGGAGCCCCCAAAATAAAGTCTGTCACTGTTTCCACTGTTTCCCCATCTATTTGCCATGGAGTGATGAAACTGGATGCCATGATTTTACTTTTCTGAATGTTGAACTTTAAGCCAACTTTTTACTCTCCTCTTTCACTTTCACCAAAAGGCTCTTTAGTTCTTTTTCACTTTCTGCCATAAGGGTGGTGTCATCTGCCTATCTGAGGTTATTGATATTTCTCCCGGCAATCTTGATTCCAGCCCGTGCTTCATCCAGCCCAGCATTTCTCATGATGTACTCTGCATATAAGTTAAATAAGCAGGGTGACAATATATAGCCTTGACGTACTCCTTTTCCTAATTGGAACCAGTATGTTGTTTCATGTCCTGTTCTAACTGTTGCTTCCTGACCTGCATACAGATTTCTCAAGAGACAGGTCAGGTGGACTGGTATTCTCATCTCTTTAAGAATTTTCCAGTTTGTTGTGATCCACACAGTCAAATGCTTTGGCATAGTCAATAAAGCACAAATAGATGCTTTTCTGGAACTCTCTTGCTTTTTCGATGATCCAACGGATGTTGGCAGTTTGATCTCTAGTTCCTCTTCCTTTTCTAAAACCAGCTTGAATATCTGTAAGTTCATAGTTCACGTACTGTTGAAGCCTGGCTTGGTGAATTTTGAGCATTACTTTACAAGCGTGTGAGATAAGTGCAATTGTGTGGCAGTTTGAGCATTCTTTGGGATTGCCTTTCTTTAGTATTGGAATGAAAACCAATCTTTTCCAGTCCTGTGGCCACTGCTGAGTTTTCCAAATTTGCTGGCATATTGAGTGCAGCACTTTCACAGCATCGTCTCTTAGGATTTGAAATAGCTCAGCTGGAATTGCATCACCTCCACTAGCTCTGTTTGTAGTGATGGTTCCTAAGGTCCACTTGACTTCACATTCCAGATGTCGGGCTCTAGGTGAGTGATCACACCATCATGATTATCTGGGTTGTGAAGATCTTTTTTGTATAGTTCTTCTGTGTAGTCTTGCCACCTCTTCTTAATATCTTCTGCTTCTGTTAGGTCCATACCATTTCTGTCCTTATTGAGCCCATCTTTGCATGAAATGTTCCCTTGGTATCTAATTTTCTTGAAAAGATCTCTAGTCTTTCCCATTCTATTGTTTTCCTCTATTTCTTTGCACAGATCCCTGAGGAAGGCTTTCTAATCTCTCCTTGCTATTCTTTGGAACTTTGCATTCAAATGGGTATATCTTTCCTTTTCTCCTTTCCTTTTTGCTTCTCTTCTTTTCACAGTTATTTGTAAGCCCTCTTCAGACAGCCATTTTGCTTTTTTGCATTTCTTTTTCTTGGGGATGGTCTTGATCCCTGTTTGCTGTCATGAACCTCCATCCATAGTTCATCAGGCACTCTATCAGATCTAGTCCCTTGAGTCTATTTCTCACTTCCACTGTATAATTGTAAGGGATTTGATTTAGGTCATACCTGAATGGTTTAGTGACTTTCCCTACTTTCTTCAGTTTCAGTCTGAATTTAGCAATAAGGAGTTCATGATCTGAGCCACAGTCAGCTCCCAGTCTTGTTTTTGCTGACTGTATAGAGCTTCTCCACCTTTGGTTGCAAAAAATATAATCAATCTGATTTCGGTGTTGACCATCTGGTGATGTCCATGTGTAGAGTCTTCTCTTGTGTTGTTGGAAGAGGCTGTTTGCTATGACCAGTGTGTTTTCTTGGCAAAACTCTATTAGCCTTTGCCCTGCTTCATTCTGTACTCCAAGACCAAATTTGCCTGTTACTCCAGTGTTTCTTGACTTCCTACTTTTGCATTCCAGTCCCCTATAATGAAAAGGACATCTCTTTTGGGTGTTAGTTCTAGAAAGTCTTATAAGTCACTATTGAACCGTTCAACTTCAGCTTCTTCATCCTTACTGGTTGGATTACTGTGATATTGAATGGTTTGCCTTAGAAACAAACAAAGATCATTCTGTCGTTTATGAGACCGCATCCAAGCACTGCATTTCGGACTCTTGTTTACTACAATGGCTATCCATTTCTTCTAAGGGATTCTTGCCCACAGTAGTAGATATAATGGTCACCTGAGTTAAATTCACCCATTCCAGTCCATTTTAGTTCACTGATTCATAAAATGTCAACATTCACAATTAGCATAACCAACGCTTTTCATTATTTTAGTATTAAATGCATTGGCTTACTTAATTCATTTTTTCTTGGATTCTGATGATGACACTCATTTAAATTGAAACCGAGTATTTCATAGGGCAAGGGTCCCCAACCCCCAGGCCATGGACCATTGCAGGTCTGTGGCCTCTTAGGAACTGGGCCACGTAGCAGGAGATGACTGATGTGCAAGCGAGTGAAGCTTCATCTGTATTTACAACTGCTCCCCATTGCTTACGTTACCACCTAAACTCCATCTCCTGTCAGATAAACAGCAGCATTAGATTCTCATAGAAGCACAAACTACTGCGAACCACAGATACGAAGAATCTCAGTTTTGAGCTCCTTATGAAAGTCATCCCCAAACCATTCCTCTCTGGGTCTGTGGAAAAATTGCCTTCCAGGAAACCAGTCCCTGGTGCCAAAAAGGTTGGGGACCACTGTCATAGCACACTTTAGTTTCCCAAAATGTTTTCCCTTGCTCTCTCATTTGAGTCCCACAAAAGTCTTAAAAGACGTTGGGGTTTTTTCCATTGAACTGGATACTTTTTTTCCTTTTGTTTTATTTAGGAACTTTAGGAACTTGCTGTTCCTGAGCCGTGGGGGAGAGGATATTAAGATATAGTGGTCACTCCTACTTTAAGGAGAGACTCTGGGAAAATGGTGAATTTTGCAGACCTGGTTTGCTACTTACTCTGTGCCTTTGGGAGATGGCTCAGCCTCTCTGAGCTTCTGCTTTTTCATCTGCTGAGAGAGTCCTGCTACTGCTTTATGGGATTGTGTTTAGCATTAAATAACATGGTAGATGCAAATATTCTGGCCAGCACACTATAAATATCACCCTGGTTCCTTCTTTCTCTCTGCTCCTGCCCTGAATGAAAGAAACAGAAGGTTTTCAGAAGTATTGAGTGTTACAGCAGAGAAGACTGCTGACAAGCAAAGAGAGGATTCTGTAACAATCACACCCATGGTTCTCAACCTTAAGGAAGCAACAGAATTTGTGGGTTGTTGTTGTCAGTCACTCAGGTGTGCCCGACTCTTTTTGTAACCCTATGGACTACAGCACGCGAGTCTTCCCTCTCCTTCACTATCTCCCAGAGTTTGCTCAAACTCATGTCCATTGAGTCGGTGATGCCATCCAACCATCTCATCCTCTGTCATCCCCTTCTCCTTCTGCCCTCCATCTTTCCCAGCATCAGGGTCTTTTCCAGTGAGTCAGCTCTTCATATCAGGTGGCCAAAGTATTGGACCTTCAGCTTCAGCTTCAGTCCTTCCAATGAATATTCAAGTTTGATTTCCTTTCGGATTGATCAGTTTGATCTCCTTGCTGTCCAAGGGATTCTCAAGAGTCTTCTCCAGCATCACCATTTGAAAGCACCAATTCTTCAGTGCTTAGCCTTCCTATGGTCCAGCTCTCAAATCTGTACATGACAACTGGAAAAACCATGGCTTTGACTCTACAGATTTTGTTGGCAAAATGATGCCTCTGCTTTTTAATATGCTGTCTAGATTTGTCATAGCTTTTCTTTCAAGGACCAATTTGTGGGAGAGTTGGTTAAAATTCAGCTAGCTGTGCCATCCCAGAGTTTCTGAGTTCTAAGGTAGGCCCCCAAAATTTGTGTTTCTTCAAGTTCCCAGGCTTTCCTGGTGGCTCAGCAGGTACAGGATCCACCTGAAATGCCGAAGACATGAGAGACTTGGGTTTGATCCCTGGGTCAGGGAGGTCCCCTGGAGGAGAAAAATGACAACCTATTCCAGTATTCTTGCCTAGAAATCCCATGGACAGGGGAACCTGGCAGGCAAGCACAAGCACTGCAATTTCCCAGTTGAGGTCCACGTTGCTGGTCCTGGGACCACCTTGCTGGTCCAGGGACACTTTGAAAACCACTGTTCAAGGTCTTTGGGAAAGTTAAGGCTTGGATGAAAAAGTGTGCTGAAGTGCTTTGTCACTGAATATCTGCGTTTCAATCCTTGTGTGCCCAAGTGCTGGGACTCAGCTATTTTGCAGCAAAGATGCTCACAGTAGCACTGGAAAAAATGATCCTACTGGGTCCTTCATGAATTTATGTTAAAGCTAAACACTTTGCAGCCAGACCACCTGGTGTGTGACTCTGGGCAAGCTGCTTAATGTTCCCGTGCCTTTGCCTTTCTCTCTCTAAAACTGGTTGTTCAATGATTAAATATGTGTAAAGCCCTTAGAATGGAATAGGCACTTAGTACAGACCATGTAAACATTTTTTTAATTTAATTTTATTATGGAAAGAACATTTAACATGAGGTTCACCCTCCTAACAAATGTTTAAGTGCACAATGTGATATTGTTAACTACAGGCACGATATTGTTCGGCAGCTCTCTAGAATGTGTTTATCTTTAGTAACACAAACTTTTTACCCTTTGATTAGCACTCTTCATTTCCTCCTCCACACAACACCTGGCAACCACCATTCCACTCTCTGATTGCCTGAGTCTGATTGTTTTAGATAGGGCACATAAATGGAATCATGTAGTATTTGTTTTTCTGTGACTGGTTTATTTCGCTTAGCATGACATCTTCAAGGTTAATTCATGTTGTCACATACTGCAAAATTTCCTTCTTGTTGAATGCTGAATTATATCCTATTGCATGTATCTACAATTTTTAATCCATTTATCTTTCCATGAACATTGAGGTTGCTTCGCTCTTGTGAACGGTGCTACAGTGAACATAGGCGCCCTAATAAGTCTTTGTGATCTTAATTTCAATTCTTTTGTTTTTTTTTTTTTTTCACTTATTTAACACGATTTATTCAGACATACTTCCTTACATTGTATTTTGACATAGGAGACAGGTTTTCAACTCATGTCTTAAGATGAGAGGTAGAGTTCAAGGATTGTTACTCAGCAAGTCCGGGGACCCCTCCCACCGCCCCCACTGCAAGGAACTCCAGTTCCGTCTCTTGGAAACTGGGGAGACGCCAATCCCCTTCCTCGGTGTTCTGAGCACTCTGTGTATCTGGGAAGGCTTGAGCAACTCTTGGCAGAACTGCCACCTTCCAGAGGGAACAGGCATTGCCCCCTAGAGAGAGTGAACATAGGCGCCCTAATAAGTCTTTGTGATCTTAATTTCAATTCTTTTGAATAAATGCCCAGAAGTGGGATTGCTAGATCATATGGTAGTTCCATTTTTAACTTTTTAAGGTATTTATTACTGCTTTCCATACAGGCTGCATCATTTTGAGTTCCCATCAACAGTATACTAGTGTTTCAATTTCTCCACATCCTTGCCAACACTTGTCTTTTTTTAAAAATAATATCGTCCTAACTGATATGATGTGATATTTAATTGTGGTTTTGATTTGCATTTCCCAGATAATTAGTGATGCTGACCATCTTTCCATGTGCCTTTTGGCCATTTGTACGTTTTCTTTGAGGAAATCTCTGAGTCTTTTCATCCATTTTTAAACTGAGTTATTAGGGTTTCTTTGCTATTGAATTGTGGAGATCCTTCCATATTTTGGAAATTAACCCTTTATCAGATACATGGTTTGCAAATATTTTCTCCCATTTTGTAGGTTGCCTTTTCCTTTGTTGATTGTTTACTTGCAGTGCTGAAGTTTTTAGTTTGACATAGTCCTACTAGTCAATTTTTGCTTTTGTTGCTTGTGCTTTTAGTGTCATATTCATGAAATCATTTCCAAGATCAATATGATGAAGATGTCCCCCCATGTTTTCTTCTAGGAGTTTTACAGTTTTGGGTTTTACATTAAGCCTTTAATCAATTTTCAGTTGACTTTTGTGTCTAGTGTGAAGAAAAGGATCCATTTTGCTGTGGATATCTAATTTTCCCAACACCTTTTGTGGAAGAGGTTATCCTTTTCCTATTGTGTATTCTTGGCACTTTTGCAAAAATCAGTTAACTGTATATGCATAGATTTATTTCTGGGCTTGCTCTTCTGTCGCATAGATCTATGCTGTTGCTGTTTAGTCTCTAAGTCATGTCTGACTCTTTGCAACCTCATGGGCTGTAGCCTGCCAGGCTCCTCTGTCCATGGAATTTTCCAGACAAGAATACATGGACTATGTCTGTCTTTATTCTAACACCACACTGCTTTAATTACAGTAGCTTTGCAATATAGTTGAAATCAGAAATATGATGTCTCTAGCTTTCGTCTTCTTTATCAAGACTGATACATCTAATTAGGAATAAATATTTGCTATAAGAAATAAAATACTACTTTGGGAAAGTCACTTAGCCTCTATGAAATTGTATAGTTTTGCTTTTCCTGAAAAAATGACTTACCACCTGAGTTTATTGGGACACAAAAAGAAAAAAAAAAATAACCTCTCTAGTACTATGCCTGCCTAGATATGATCTTGCTCCTTAATTATCAACTGTCCTCATGTACCACCTGGCTTTTCTGATGGTGTGCGTCACTCCAAGGAACTGAGCTCATCTACCCACTTATAAGGTACAATACTGGAAAGTGATCCTATGGGCCCTTCTTAAATTCATGCATGCTCTGTCTTATTTCAGAGTTCTTCTGGATGAAGGAAAGGCCACGGTGCCTCTTCTGGCAGAAAGACTTACCACTGAGCTCATTTGGCACATCAATGTGAGTCAGTAGTTGCAAGCTATAAAAAAAAATGACAGCCTTGGGTACTTACCTGGTGGTCCAGTGGTTAAGACTCAACCTTCCAATGCAGGCAATACAGGTTCAATCTCTAGCTAAGATCCCACATGCCTTGTGCCCAATAAACCAAAACATAAAAGAGAAGCAATATTATAACGAATTCAATAAAGACTTTAAAAATGATCCACATCAAAAAACAAATCTTAAAAAAAAAAAATGATAGCCTGTCCAGGTCACTTTCTTAGTCATGGGTTGACTAGGACACTCCAGTGAAATGTCCAAACTAGCAGACAAATAAGAACATTGTGAAAACCAAATCACTCCTGGTCAGAGACTCACAAAAGAGCTTCTGAAACAGAAAAGCAGTAACTGCATAGTGTTGAAATAAAGAGTTGAATCTGTCAGTCTGGGGCCAGCAAAGAGAGAAGGAAAATGCTAACACCAGGTTAGCAGTGTAAAAAGGAGTGAATATCGAGTTAGTAAATTTTTAATAGTTTGTTAACAATTCACAGTATAAAAATCACTTTCCTTTGAGACGTCCTAATGGAACACTGGTTAAGACTTCACCTTCCAATGCAGGGGTGCAGGTTGGATCCCTGGTCAGGGAACTGAGGTCCCAAGTGCTTCAAGGCCAAAAATCCAAAACATAATACAGAAGCAATCTTGTAACAAATTCAATAAAGACTTTAAGAATGGTTCACCTCAACAAGTTTTTAAACGATAAATTAAAAATATAAATATAAAACATTTTCCCAGCTTCAAACTTGTAGAAAATAAATGTTTGGTTTTTAGTGATTCTCAAAATAAGAAAACCACAGACAAAGTTCTCATGATGTCTTTGAAGGGGGACTCTGGCTTGGTGCTTACTGAGAAATAGTATATTTATAGCCATCACCATCGCCATTGTGGGCTCCAGGACTGGGCACCAGCCACTGCATCTGCACACCCCCATCAAGAGGATGACATAAGAGTTGGACCATAAAGAAGGCTGAGCACCAAAGAATTGATGTTTTCAAATTGTGGTGCTGGAGAAGACTCTTGAGAATCCATGGGCCAGCACGGAGATCAAATCAGTCAATCCTAAAGGAAATCAAACCTGAATATTCATTGGAAGGACTGAGGCTGAAGCTGAAGCTCCAATACTTTGGCCATCTGATGTGAAGGGCCAACTCATTGGAAAAGACCCTGATGCTGGCAAAGATTGAAGGCAAGAAGAGAAGGGGGCGACAGAGGATGAGATGGTTGGATAGCATCACTGACTCAATGGACACAAGTTTGAGCAAACTCTGGGAGATGGTGATGGACAGGGAGGCCTGGCATGCTGCAGTCTGGGCAGTTGCAAAGAGTCAGACACAACTTATAGACTGAACAACAACAAATCAAGAGGATAATGGCTAGAACATGAGGAGGAAAGAGGTGGCAGGTGTCCATACTAAAAATAGTCCTCCCATTAAAAATATTAAACCCACACAAGCTACACAAGTACCCTTTCACATCAAAATAGCCCTCTGAGACCACAGTAGATTATCATTTCTCCTAAACTCTCTTGAGTAAGAGAAATAGAAGTAAAATGAAGATGCAGAAGAGCCACTCTCAATGAAAAGGCCAAGAGAATGCCCCTGAAAGAACAATGAAACAGACTTCTTCAGTCTGATAGATGCTGAGTTCAAAAGGGAGATAATGAAAACACTGGAGGAATTAAGAAAGGCTATGGACAGAAATGCAGGTTACTGTAAAAAAGGAATTGAAAACTACAAAGAGGAGCAAAAAAGAAATTCATTTGCCAAGATGAAAGCTGATCTAAAGACAATAAATAGCAGAATGAATAATGAAGAAGTATAAACAAGTGATCTGAAAGGTAGAATAATGGAAATCACTCAGTCAGAACAACAGAGAGAAAGCCAAATGATAAATGGAGTATTTGTCACGCTTGCCTGAACCATTGTCCATGAGAAGATGAACCTTGAGTACAGAGGTAGAACGTAGGGGCTGGATCCCAGTCCATGCTAAATTGCATGTTGCATGAAACAATGAATTCTTCTGAACCAGAAAACACATACTCAAAATATTTGTTTGTTAGGGGCAACACTTCTAAAACTGTATGTGATGCTGTGGTAAAGAACCTGCTTGCCAATGCAGGAGACAGGTGTAAGAAAGGTGGGTTAGATCCCTGGGTTGGGGAGATCCCCTGGAGGAGGGCACAGCAGCCCACTCCAGTATTCTTGCCTGGAGTATTCTTGCCTAACACACAGTTAGGCAAAAATGTTACCTAGAAAATTTGCTTAAATTCATATTCCTGGGCCCCGGCTGAGCTTCTGAGTCAGTAGGTCTGGGGTGGGGCCCATGAATTTGTTTTTCTAAGGTGACCTTGGGAATATACTTGGAGAAGTATTGATTCTGGTGGAATCCCTTCAATTTGCAACAGAGAATTCTAAAATAAATAGCCCTGTCTAAAAACTATGCTGCTAGTACTAAATCACTTCAGTCGTGTCCGACTCATTGCAACCCTATGGACTGTAGCCCAGCACGTTCCTCTGTCCACGGGATTCTCCAGGCATTCTCCCAATCCCTCCCAGCATCAGGGTCTTTTCCAATGAGTCAACTCTTCACATCAGGTGGCCAAAGTATCAGAGTTTCAGCTTCAGCATCAGTCCTTCCAATGAACACCCAGGACTGATCTCCTAAGCACCATTTATCAGTTTATAACACTCAAATGTTATAGGGGACATTTCACTAAAGAAACCTTCCATTATATTCAAAGGTACTTGTTATCTCAATAAAAGCTCTGAGTCAAACAAACAAAAAACCCAAAACTGGCCACCACCGGATTCCCTCCCCACTCTGGTCACGTGACAGAACTGCAGAATTCTCAACACCAGATTGTCCAAGCTGTATCATGCATAACGTTGCATCCCAAGTCCTCCTTGAGGTCTTGGCAGGAGTCGCTCTCAACAAGAGTCACACGATAATAGAAACTGAATGCTTTCAAACAGGACTCTGCCCATACACCTAAGATACCTGTCAGCTAATTTCAGCAAGCTGCAGCGTTTCGTTGTTTGCTCTTATTTTGTTCAGGGAAGATCCCCTGGAGAAGGAAATGGCAATACACTCCAGTATTCTTGCCTGGGAAATCCCTTAGGCAGAAGCCTGATGGGCTACAGTCCCTGGGGTCAGAACAGAGTCAGATAGGACTTAGCAACTTAAAAACAAAAAAAGTTCATCAAGTTGTAGCCTTTCATCGCTTGCTCTTATTTTGTTCAGAAATCGCTCCCCTTGTTAGAAAACCAAATAAAGGAAAAGCACCAGAGGGCGACAGAGGAGCTGCACCAGTACGGGGACGACATTCCCAGCAATGAAGGGGATAAAATGTTCTTCCTCATCGAGGTGAGGATTACTCAGGACTCCCTGCCCTCCTCGTTTCTCATGAGGTGGTGGTGGGGGGGGGTGGGGTGTGTGAGGTGGCTGGTGGGTCATCTGACCCCCTTGGAGCCCCAGCCCCCACACCACCATGCACGGCTGATCCAGATCCCTGCTCTTTAATACAATTACAGCACAGATTGATGGTTTTATCTCCTCTTTTCAGAAAATTAAGGTATTTAACGAGGACATTCAAAAGTTAATAGAAGGAGAAGAAATTGTAATGGAGACAGAGTCCCGCTTATGTAACAAAATCAGAGAGGAGTTTACAAGCTGGGCACTCATACTTACCGCCAATATCAAAAAAGGTAAGTCCTGGGACAGGGCTGCCCCCAAAGCAGCATCACATTTACCAAGACCAGAAGCTACTTCTGGCACATAAAAATTGTGCGAACCGACTGTGCCCACACTAGGGACCTCTTAGTATCTGTAACAGCTTCCCAGCCATTTTTGTGGAGCATGGCCTTCGCCAATTCAATAGTAGACCATCCCACCAACTGTCTCCTTGCTTCTGTGTTTTGAGGCTCGGCAGTTTCACTTACCCTGTCTCTTTCCTCCTCCTTACCCCCAGTCCAGGATCAGAAAGGTCTATGCTTTGACAACAAACTCCTTACTTCCTCTGGCAGAGTTCCAACTTCTATCTGCTCCAGCCCAAAGGCCAATAGGGTGTGTGCCTGTGTGGTGTTGTAGTGTGTGTATGTGTGTATATCTTTGCATTGACACTTTAAAATATATATATATATTTATTTATTTATTTTTGGCAGCACGGGGTCTTCATCTCTGCACACAAGCTTTCTCTAGTTGCAGAGAGTAGGGGCTTCTTTTGTTGCAGAGCAACAAAAAGTGTCCGAGGCTCTAGGACACTTGGACCTCAGTAACTGCTGCATGTGGCTTAGCAGCTGTGACTCGTGGGCCCCAGGGCGTGGGCTCAGCGGTTGTGGTGTGTGGGCTTAGTCGCCTTGCAGCGTGTGGGATCCACCTGGACCAGGGATTGTACTAGTCTCCCGTGCATTGCAAGGTGGGTTCTTAACCACTGGTCCGCCGAGGAAACTCTGTTTTGACACTTAATAAAAGCAGCACTATTCCTTCCATGGTAACAGCCCTCCAGCTATAGGTAGTCTTGGAAGAAGACCTGTAAGGGCTGCAAGAATTTTTTGTTTCTCTTTTCATTTAATTATCAGATTTTTTTCCCCTACCAATTATAAACACTTAGCTTCTCTCCTGGCATGATGACTCTCAACTGAAACACATTGGAATAGAAAAAGATTTTTGTTTCTTAACTGTCAATATTTCTCAAACTGGCATTATCAGGCCACAAATAATTATTTTCATGATTAAAAGAAACTATTTAGAAAAATTGCCATAGGATTCGTTGGGTAAGCAAGACCTGAAAAAAATCCATATCTTCTAACTGTCTGTGAAATTATTAGAGTTTTTCCTGGTGGTTTGTTTTTTGTTGCAGTTAAAAGTATCCTTAACGAGGAAGTCTCAAAATATGAAAAGAAGTATCGAGGCAAAGAACTTCTTGGATTTGTCAATTACAAGACGTTTGAGACTGTCGTGAAGCACTACCTGGAGCAACTGATAGACCCAGCACTCAAGATGCTCCAGAAGGTCATGGGTGAGGAACTCTCATAAAAAAACTTTCAGATTGTTATCCTTATACTCCCATAGGTCTCAGTGCTTGGAGGAAGAGATTGGAATGGAATTATCAAACACAGCCTGCAGATGTTTGTCCACTTAGGGGGAAGGGGAGAGTGTGGTCAAGGCTGTATGTTGTCACCCTGCTTATTTAACTTATATGCAGAGTATATCATGAGAAATGCCAGGCTGGAGGAAGCACAAGCTGAAGTCAAGATTGCTGGGAGAAATATCAATAACTTCACATACACAGATGACACCACTTTTATGGCAGAAAGTAAAGCCTCTTGATGAAAGTGAAAGAGGAGAGTGAAAAAGTTGCCTTAAAAAGCAACACTCAAAAATTAAGATCATGGCATCCGGTCCCATCATTTTATGGCAAATAGATGGGGAAACAATGGAAACAGTGACAGACTTTATTTTGGGGGGCTCCAAAATCACTGCAGATGGTGACTGCAACCATGAAATTAAAAGATGCTTGCTCCTTGGAAGAAAAGTTATGACCAACCTAGACAGCATATAAAAAGCAGAGACATTACTAACAAAAGTCTGTCTAGTCAAAGCTATGGTTTTTCCAGTAGTCATGTGTGGATGTGAGAGTTGGACTATAAAGAAAGCTGAGTGCCGAAGAATTGAAGCTTTTGAACTGTGGTGTTGGAGAAGACTCTTGAGAGTCCCTTGGACTGCAAGGAGATTGAACCAGTCAATCCTAAAGGAAATCAGTCCTGAATATTCGTTGGAAGGACTGATGCTGAAGCTGAAACTCCAATACTTTGGCCACCTGATGCAAAGAATGGACTCATTGGAAAAGACCCTGATGCTGGGAAAGATTGAAGGCAGGAGGAGAAGGGGACGACAGAGGATAAGATGGTTGGATGGCATCACTGACTCAATGGACATGAGTTTGAACAGACTCTGGGAGTTGGTGATGGACAGGGAGGCCTGGCGTGCTGCAGTCCATGGGGTTGAAAAGACTTGGACATGACTGAGTGGCTGAGCTGAACTGAACTGAGAGTGTGTATGAGCTTTATATACCTCTTACCTAAGCCTGGATGGCACGGTGTGTGGAATAGCTGCTAACCCTGCAGAGAGGGGCTCTCAGGTGGCACAAGTGGTAAAGAATAAGCTTGCCAATGCAGGAGACACAGGTGTTGTGGGTTTGATCCGTGGGTCAAGAAGATCCCCTGGAGGAGGACATGACAACGCACTCCAGTATTCTTGGCTGGAGCATCTCATGGACAGAAGAGCCTGGAAGGCTACCATCCATGGGGCTGCAAAGGAGTTGGACACAACTGAGCGACTAAACAACAGCAACAATCCTGCCGAGAGTGCACACCCAGGAAAGGACAAGAAGTTGACAGGATCTGCTCAGGATGGGGGTGGATTTGGTTTCTCCATGGGATTATGTGCCATCCCTCCTTCTCCCTTGGTCTGTAGGTCTGAAGATCTCAGTACCAGAATGGGGCCAGTGTATCATGATTTATCCTCCTGTGTCTTTAACCCATTTCATTCCTGCTTGCATTTTGCTGATGTTTCGTTCTTTCCTTGATCAGAAATTATCTGGCAAACTTTCAAGGACACAGTCAAAAAGCATTTTGCTGAATTTTGCAATCTGCATCAGACCGTCCAGGTAAGCACCCACAGTTTGCTTGCTTATAGTCTGCTTGCCAGTGCGTGGTTTGATCCCTGTCCGGGAAGATCCCTGGAGAAGGAAATGGCAACCCACTCCAGTATTCTTACCTGCTGCAAGCACAGGCTGTCTGGGGCCAGGAAAGTTCAAGGGCCTTTGTCCCCTGTAGCATCCTGGGATGAACAGAGATCTGGGTGCAGCTACCTGGCTCCCACCCAGCCACTTCTCTCCACCATCTGTACCCTCTTCTCCTGAGTTGCATCAGAAGCCAGGATCTTGTGTCCTCCCATAAAACTCCTCTTGGAAAGTGACTCACAGTCCATTTCTGCTCTCAGGCCCCCAATTTGCAAAGGGAGTGGGTTGTCACATACGTGTTTGTGGCCACATACACTTCAACGAAGAACCTGCCCTTATGACTCTCTTTTCACAAACCACAGTCTCTGCCTTCAGTGCACAAAAATCCCTTTGAAACTCAAAAGTCAACCTGTGACTCAGTTCCACTGAGTCACATCTCCCTTTCTTGGGATGCCTTTGCCCATGTGCATGACTCGGGAGTTGCAGGATTTCTGGGAAGCACAGAGATGGAGCTGTTATCCCATGGTGCTCATTAGCACCGGATGCATTCTTGAATGCTTGGATTCAAGCCAACAACAGAGACAAGAGTGATGGGCTTGAACATGTAGACTAAACCGTAACTGAGGAAGCAGAAAGACAGTAACGTGCGAGGAAATAGGTTGGGGCCAAGAGAAAGAACAGACAGGTGCTCGCTTTGGCAGCATATATACTGACAAACACATAACAGGCAGGAGGGAGGGTGAGCATGGCATGTGCAAGGTGGGGAGCCACAAGATGCAACAGGTGAGGACAAAACAGAGGGCAAACTGGGAGCTTCTGAAAATTGCTCCTGAAAAGTCTCAGACCTTCTTTGACCTCGGATTATTTTTAATTCAGCGTTCAACATCATAATATGGTACTATAGTAATAGTAATAATACTTCCTAAGCTGTTTAAACAGCAGGGGAAGAAAAGGGAAAGTAATATATTTATCTTCCTTATTTGACCAGAACAAGATCGAAGACATAAAAACAAAACAAATGGCAGAAGCAACAAATATGATCCAACTTCAGTTCAAGATGGAGAAGCTGGTTTTTTGTCAAGACCACATTTACGGCGTGGTTCTGAACAGCGTCCGAGAAGATATTTTTAATTCCATGGGGAAGCCTTCAGAGAATCCTCAGTTGAATCAGCCCCTTTTAAATGATCAATCTTCGGTTTCCTCCATTGTTGAGATTGGGGTCCACCTGAATGCATACTTCATGGTGAGCATGTAGGGATACAGGTCAGAGTGCTGTGGTCCCTACCAAGCAGAAAGCGGGATGTCCTGGTTGACAGCTGCTTTGCTAAGCAAAGAACAGGGCATCTCTGCCTACAAAGTCCTTTAGGCTGTGAAAACCTACTCATATAGCATCTCATCATAGTTTTACAGTAACACTGAAAGGGAAAGAGTTAGTTGCTCAGTCAGGTCTGACTCTTTTAGACCCCATGGACTATAGCCTGCCAGGTTCCTCTGTCCATGGAATTCTCCAGGCAAGAATACTGGAGTGGGTAGCCATTCCCATCTCCAGGAGATCTTTCCCACCCAGGGATTGAACCCTGGTCTCCTGCATTTCAGGCAGATTCTTTACCATCTGAGCCACCAGGGATAGTAACCCTATCAAGACACTGTTAATTAATTTTCCCCAAATCAGATTTTTCATCTTAGCAGAACATGTGTTCAAAACTAATTCCAACTCCAAAATTCATTATATTTTATTCTCTGCATAAATTCCAAAATTACTCTGATCAGAATACAGCAAAACATAAGCACTAACTTTACTGGCTATGTTTTAGCTTTCTTACGTGTTCAGAGGGTACCCAGAGTGCCTCAAACTCAAACTAAGTCCTACAAAGTAGAAGTGAAAAAGCCTGTCCCTAAATTTTGCAGCCCACCCGACTTCATGGTTTCTAAGGCTTCATCCATAGATTAAAGTATTAGGGTGCATGGAAAAGAAGGTAGCTTTTTATTTTAGTTAAGTTTTTATTTATTTATTTGGTTGCATGGAATCTTAGTTGTGACATATGTGATCTAGTTCCCTGACCAGGGATCGAACCCAGGTCCCCTGCGTTGGGAGTGCAGCGTCTTAGCCACTGGACTACTAAGGAAGTCCCAGAAGGTAGCTTTTAAACTACCCAACTCCTGAAGCCCTTTCTTGATTAGGATAGAAAGTAGAGTGACCCAGATGTGGGGTCCAGCTGTCAGGCAAACCGGAGATGCTGATGAAAGGAGTGAAGGAAATAAGCATTGAAATATGTCCGGATCATCTCCCAGAAGGGACCTGGGGTTCACTGCCAGGAGGTCTCTCCAGGGAGGAGAGTGGGGGTGAGGAGGAGCTCCCTTCCAGGAAGGCTGGGATGTCTAGAACGTGGCTGGGTCTGCTAGCCTTCAGGTGGATCTTAGTGTCAGAGGGAATACCTGGGTCGTGAAAATGGGGCGACCCAAAGAGATCCTTCCCTTGGTTGGTACTGACCACTGGAGTGGAGATGGACAGGATCCCAGGATTTAGCGTGCATCCAAGGAACTTCTCTCTGCAACCATAGACCCCTCCAGCTGACCCCTCTTACCCCCTCTTCCAGGAAACCAGCAAACGTCTCGCCAATCAGATCCCATTCATCATTCAGTACTTTATGCTCCAAGAGAATGGTGACAAGGTGCAGAAAACCATGATGCAGCTACTACAGGACACACAGCACTATTCCTGGCTGCTTCAAGAACAGAGTGATACAGCTACCAAGAGGAAATTCCTGAAGGAGAAGATCTATCGGCTAACTCAGGCACAGCAAGCTCTCTATGAATTCCCCCTTTTCAAGGGGTAAATCCCAAAGGAACTGCAGTACTTCTGGGTTTTGCTTACGTGCATGATCATTAAAGGAGTTGGTCCAGGAATTGGCCTTTTGTTTGGGGCCAGACCTTTCTGCTGCTGTCTGCGTCCATCTTTGCTACACTGCACTCAGAACAAGAGTTTATATCTGAAGTCCTGAGCCGCTCAGAGCTGTCACCTCCTCCGGGAGGTCTTCCCCGTCCTGTGTGAAGAGGGGTCTCTCCGGTCCTTGGGCCCCAGAGCCCCCAGTTACATTGCTGTCATTCTTTATTCACTTGTCACCCCTCCCCATTAGATTAGGAGAACTTAGAGAGGTAAGGTCAGTTCTTATCCTTTTGTATTTCCAGAATCTTGCGTGGCCTCTGGCACATAGTAGTTCACTTAATAAATATAACATTGAACAAATGAATGATGGGGATTAACTGAGGCTGTGGCTTAAATCCAGGTTGGTTGTTTGGAATGGTGTCCCTTAGATGGTCCTTTTCTTATAAATTCAATCGTACCACCTGCTTCCCATCACTTGCTGTGATGGTGTTTCCCAGTCCCCCTAGAGGAAAGTGGCTGAGTGATACCATTTTTAATTTAGTTTCTCTGAATGCAGTGAGCTCCATTGCTGTATTGTCTTAAAGAGACATTTAATAATGAGAAACATTTTTTTAAAAAATATAGAGCTTCACAATAGTGGTCATCTCTAGATTGCAGGATTATGGATAATTTTATTTTCTTCTTTGAGCTAAGCTAATGACTTTACAGCAATTTTAGGAGGGTTAAGTGAAACCATTTTTACAAACTATGTGTCCCAAAGCAGGTGTTCAAAACTGCCAGCAACTTTTCCCTCTAATTTTTCTTTACCTCTAGGTCTATAGAGAAGCTCTCAGCTCTAAGACTCTTCCAGTCAATTCTTACATTAGTTCTTTGATTTTTTTTTTGACAATTTCTGTATATGATGTTAGATAAGCATCCTTTTGCATATGGATATCCAGTTTTCCTAGCACCATTTTTTGAAATGGCTGTTCTTTCCCTATTGATCTTGGTGCTCTTGTCAAAAATCATTTGACCATATACACAAAGACTTGATTCTGGGCTTTCTGTTCTATTCCATTGGTCTATATGACTGACTTTATGACATTACCATACTGTTTTGATAATTGTAGACTTGTAAGTTTTGAAGTCAGGAACTCTGAGTCCTCCAGCTTTGTCCTTTTTTTCCCATGAGTTTTGGCTGTTCAGGTTTCCATGAAATTCCATATGAATTTTAGGATGAATAGTCCTATCTTTGCAAAAAAAAGGTCATTGGGAATTTGGTAGAAATTGTAATGAATCCACAGATTGCTTTGGGTAGTACTTGCATCTTAACAATATTAAGTCTTTCAATCCACGAACATAGGATATCTTTCCATTTATTTGTGTCTTTCTTTAATTTCTTTAAGCAATATTTTATAGTTTTCTGTGTACAAGTTTTTCAATCCCTTAGTTACAAAGTATTTTGTTCTTCTTGTAAATGGAATTGTTAATTTCTTTTTCAACTCATTCACCGCTAATTTACATGTATGTAAATTTACATATATCATTTTTATGTGTTGATTTGCTATCTTGCTACTTTGTTGAATTCATTCTTAGTTATAGTTTTGTGGTATATTTATGGTTTTTCTAATACACACAAGGTCATATCATCTGTGAAGCGAAATTATTTTGATTCTTCATTTCTGACTTGGATGCCTTTTATTTCCATATCTTGCCTAACTACTCTGTCTAGAACTTTCAATACTATGTTAAATAAAAGTGGCACAAGTGGGAATCCATGTCTTACAAATTTACTCTGATTTTAAAGAAGTGTAATATCAAAATTGAAGATTATGAGAAAATTTAAAAGACAAACATTGGTCTCAGTTTAGGTATCATACTTTTCTTATTTTTGGATTTTCCCCCTCATTTTATGAAGGGTACAAATAGTAGCAGAACTAAAGAAAACAAAAAAATCAAATCCCTTCACAGCATAAATGCAGTTGTGAACAATAGAGTCTGAGAAAAATGAAATCTGATGTTATCATTTGTGTCATAACTTGTATAGTCAAATCTGCCCCTAAATACTTAGTACATTTCACACGTGTGTACACATGCATTCACACATGTGTGCACATGCACACAGCCTCAACCAAGCCTTCTCACTTACCTCCTCAGGACTGACCCCAAAACTTAGGTGCGAAGCATCTAGGGAAGATGCTTAGTATCAAGTGTATGAGTTTCTGGGGACTGCAACACAAGGTACCACAAACTGAGTGGCTTAAACCAACAGAAGTTGTTCTCTCACAGTTCTGGATGTCAGAAGTCTGAAATCCAGGTGTAGGCAAGGTTGGTTCCTTCTGGAGGCATTCTTAGTCCACAAGGACAAGCAAAGTTACTCATTTACAGCTGGCTGTAGCAAGTGGGTCAGCCACCATTGCTTACATTTTGGCAGAAACTCAAGGGCAGGCAGAGGAGTGGGAAAGCTTTATAGTGGAAAAAAAATGAAGCCTCAGATTGCACTGAGAGGAGGATTGAGCATGCATGCACACACATGCTTTTCCTAGCAAAAAAAGTTCACAAGTATCCTGGCTTCTGGAGCAGCTTCTCTCAGTGCAATCTGAGCCTTCATGTGCAACAGAAATGAGCAAAAAGGTGGTAACATATGCTAAAACTAGAAAATCAGCTTAGGTTTTAGCATAACGTCACCTCTGTCTCCATCACCTTCCCCCAACTCTAAGACCACCCTGCTTATCCCATAGATATCCCAACTCCCTCACATTCTGGGAGGTGGATCTGAGAGTTGTTCTTCCTTCCCCACTCTTGGCTGCTTTGTGAATAAACTCTTCCTCTGCTGCAAACAGACCTGGTTTGGTAAGGAAACCCTCGTCATTTGAAGCTATTGTTCCAGGAGTTACTGTTTGACTTCCCAGACTACTGGAAACAGCAATCTGACTTCCTGCAAGTTGGCCTAAGACAAGCTGGCTTCCTTGGTTGGCTACTGCAGAAAATGGATTGATTTCCTAGACAGGTCGCTGCAGCCTGAAGGTCAGAGTTTTCACATGTGGTCTGACCATTCACTGTGCGTTAAGCCTCTGACAGCCTACAGACAAGGTTTGGAGGTGAGGAAGTAAAGTAAAAGAGCCCTAAGCCCTGTAAAATATCTCCTGGTTTCACCAGTCTTGGGGAGGGGGTAGGTTAATTTCTCCTTTCCTGCAGCCATTCAGAGGTGGGTCGGTCAGGGTGTCTCCCTGTGGAATGAACAAAGGCAGTTAGGTTTAACATTCAGGCAGAGGGGCAGGGTTCCCTGAGGTCCTGTGGGACCCTCCTTTCTCTTTTGCCCTTGGACACTGCAGACCTGCTCCTACAAGTGAAATGTGCTTTGATCAAAATCTGGTGATCTGCCTATGCTTGAATATGATCCCTCCTGAAGCTGATTCCAGCCTCTCTACCCCCACACTAAATTAATTTTTGGAGACAGATTTTGGATGAAGTAGAAAAGGATAGCTTTATTGATTTGCCAGGCAAAGGGGGCCACAATAGGCTAATGCCTTCAAAACTGTGTGTCCCAACTTGGAGAGGGTAGTGAGAAGTTTTAGAGTAATGGTTCAAAAAGGACATGGCCAGCTTGTGGATGTTCTTCTCATTGGTTGGTGGTGAATCAACCTCTGGTTCCAACTATACTGGGGTCTATGTGCTTATGGGCAACATCCTACTAATTTCTCCCACCTGGCAAGAGTTTCAGTATCTGCAGAACAGCTCAAAGATATTGTTTTATATGTCCCTTGATGGGGAACCAGGACCCTGCTCCAAGGCTGTACTATTGCCTCTCAACTATTTCTCCCTTGTCTCAGCATCACCTCCCTTCCCTAATCAGCAATTGCTGGAACTCAGGGAAGGTCATGGAGGCTGAATGAAGCCTATTTTCTGTAATCAAGAAACGGGGGACACAGAAAGGCTTTTGTGCTCAGGAACTTCTCAAGGTCCTGCTCAGTATCACTCCCTCCCACCCTTCCCTTGAGATTCCATATTGGGGTGGAGGTGGGATGGGGGAGGAATATTCTCCCCCATCAATGGTGCAGTGATAATATAACAGACAAAAGCTGACTCCATGTTGGATCTGTTTCTTTTCCTTTGACCTTTGCTGTTCATTGCTTTTGTTCTGTCTATAGCTATGTTGTCGTTGTTTAGTCTCTAAGTTGTGTCCAACTCTTTGTGACCCCATGGACTGTATCCCACCAGGCTCCTCTGTTCATGGCACTTTCCAGGCAAGAATACTGGGGTGGGTTGCCATTTCCTTCTCCAGGGGATCTTGCTGACCCAGGGATTGAACCTGGGTCTCCTGCATTGCACGCAGATTCTTTACTGCAGAGCCGCCTGGCAAGTTCATCTATAGCTATAAGCATACATAATGGCCTGCCTTGGGGACCGTGCCCCTCCACCTGAATGTTAAACCAAACTGCCTTTGTTCAGCTCACACGGAGATACCCAGACTTGCCCAACTCTGAATGGGTGCAGGAAAGAAGAAATTAACACAACTCCTCTCCAAGACTGTGAAACCAGCAGATGTTTTGCAAGACTTAAGGCCTTTTTATTTCACTTCTTCACCTTCTCCCCTTCTCTGTTCTATAAAAGAAATTAGCATCCAGACCCCCATAAGATGGTACTCTAGAACTCTAGTTCACCATCTTCTTGGATGGCTAACTCTTTGATAAGTCACTGTTCTTTGTGATAGCTTACGGTGAACCGTGCCAAGCTTGTGGTCTCTAAAGGAGAAAATTTCATTCTGGGACCAAAGACACAGTCTCAGTCACTCAGAGCTTCGTGCAGCATATATTTCATTAAAGTGAAAGGGTAGAGAAAGCTTTTGACATAGACATCAGAAAGAGGTAGAAAGAGTACCCCTCTTTTTGAGGTTAAGCAGAGCTTTATACATTTTTCAGTTGGCTACTAAGAATAGATAAAAAATACTTCAAGGTTGCAAAAGTTTTG